AGGAGGTATCTTCTATGTTGTATTGCATTGCACATTTAAACAAGTTCACTTCTAAACAAATTCTATTTTCTATGCTGTATCTTCTAAAATATTCCAGGATGTAACACTGAGTGGGTCAAAGAGTTAATGTTGCTTAAGGCCTATCAAAAAAATTGATTTGATGCTATTGACATCTCGTAGCTGTTCTTTAGTAAATATTTCAGTGAAAGAAATAACTAGCAAAGTGTATTCAGATTAATGATACAAGATTTCCCTGATATATCAGTGTACAATTTTATCTATAATACTGTACAAAAATAAAAATGTATGCAGTTACATTAATTTGCCGTGTCCTTGCAGGCTCGGCAACCTGCGGAGCTGACTGGTTGGTTTTTTATTTTCAAAGGGCTGATCAGTAAGTTACAATAAATTGATTACTTACTGCAATTTAACCTTGCATTCTTGATGCTGAGCGGCTAAATATTTGCGGCCACATTTCAAGCTTTAGTCACTAGTAATTCTTGGACAGGTACTGCATTATCTGGTTGTAAAGTATTTTCTATATTTTTCCCATTTTATTAGCATGATCCTAAACCATAGATATATATATGGTTGTTGTGTTCTGATGTTATCAGTGAAGTATCCTCTAAGCATTTGTTGAGTATGTGAGTAACGAATTACATCACAGTTCTAAGCAATGTAGCATGCCCTTGTAGTCACTTCTATATTTGGCTGTCATTAGTTTTGCAGCACATGTATGTTCTGATATACTCTTCTCATAAATGTTGGCTTTACTGCTTCAAGAACTCCATTTTCACCTTGTGCTTTAATCCTGTGCAATCTGAGATCATAAACTAGGCCTTAAAACTAAGCCATGAAACACATATTTGTCCCCCCCCAAACACACATGCTCCCGGTAGTGGTGTCCGGTTTTTATTGCCGGGGATCCCGGGACGGGGCCCTCCCTGGCTATGTAGCTTAACAGCAGATGGGAATGGGAAACAACGAAATGGCATGGTATGTTCATTATGTCTTGCTATTACTAGTGTTTCAGTTGTATTGACATGTTGCTGTCTTATATTTGATTGTGTCTAGTGCTATGTTGCTGTTGTATATTCATGTTTGTTGAAAGTAACACTTAACTGCATGGGTTCCCTAATAAGACACTAAAATGGAGAAGCGACATCAGTATTTGCATCAAAATCCTATGATTATGTCCGTCCAGTTTCCCATTACTTTTCATTTGGCCTAAAATGTTTATTTCCTTCACCTGGTAGCAATGCTTTCACTTTCATGCACTTAAATAGTACATATGCCTGGAATGGGTATATTGCTGCCACTTGGCCTCCCTTTCTCTCCCTGATTTTGCCACGGTGACGAGGATGCCTAGGACTTGAAACACGTTCTCCTGTATCTATATTGAATAGTTCTTCAGCAATGCACATACTTTAGGAGGAAACTGTTTGTAGTGCTTATACATTTTCCTCCTCTTGCTCTATTGTCTGATTGTACCATGTTTTTATTACATTATTCACAAACTTTTCTCTTGACAAAGGATTCTGAGTCTATTATTCTCACAGGGAAACTAGTGCTAATAGAGGGTCTAAATCTCCTCCTCGAAATGGTGAGTTCTACCTGCGTCTTTGTTATGCATTGAAAACAGTTTTAGCTCGTGCTACAATTTTAAGCTGCTTCACTAATTGTTTGAAAAACTTGAACTGCAGATATTGGCAATGAGGAGCTTGATCAGCGCCAGAACAAGCCTAGGAGGTAAGATCCTTTTCAACATTTTTGACTTGCAAATCACTTGTATTTGTTACGCAATCTTATGCAAGCTATGCTCTTGTGTTGCAGATACTCAGAGATGAACTTCAGCCAGTGAGGCATCTTGTAAGGTGGACTGCATCTGAATAAGCTGCTTATGGTTAGTTACATGTTTCGTATTTTGTGCATCAACTTCTTTTTTCTTTGTGGTTAAACTTATCTGTAGCTTATTTAATACGCAGGCCCTATTTAGGCCCTTTGTGATCTCCAGTTCTGATCTGGAGCACTTTGGGTGGCTTTGGTACCCTTAATTATGTTAGGTAATGTCTTGCTTTAATGCTTTTATACATGTTTGGAGCTTATAAGAAAATGCATGTGTTTCGACAGAGGAATGTATATGATTCCGTTGTTCACTGCGCTTAATTTGAAATACAACATCATTGTGCACACCGTCCAGCTTGTTTTTTTTTTCTTTTAAATTCCATTCGTTAATTTCTTTCTAAGATATATTTGTACTTTGTTGAAGCATCAATTCAATGACTAGAAGGGATTTAGGAAGAAAACTGCATTGTCATTTGGTCTTGCTTGGAACATATTGTATAGGCTATCGATAACACTTTCTATCCTAATCGTGGTCATATTGGTCAGTGTGACTGTGTGAGGTTAGGGGGTTTAAACTTGTAAGGGTGGACAAGTGGTTTAGGGATGCTAAAATGATGGACTTTCCAAATGAAGCTACAATTGTATCTAAATTATACTTGCACTGCTGTGTTCCGTCAATTGATACCAGTTGTGACTCAAATGATACCAGTTGTGACTCAAATACCAACATTAATTCTTAGCATGGATGTTTCACATGGTTCTCCAGGTCGAATTTGAATTGTAAATTTAAATTTTTTTTGGCGGAAAAATGATTTGTAGGGGCGGTTGGTACTGTAGCCGTCCCTACAAATCGACTTATAGGGGCGGCTAGTGTTCCCAGACCGCCCCTATAAATCGATTTATAGGGACGGCTACAGTACCAACCGCCCCTACAATTTAATTTGTAGAGACGGTATGATAGGAGCGGCTGGCCGAACCATCCCTACAAATACTTATTAGCCATCCCTAAAACCCATATCTGAAGTAGTGCTATCTTTGTATCCATCCGTGTCCGACCGACCACAAAAAGGGAGCCTGCATACACGGGGATTCCCATGGCTCTATTCATTGCCGCCATTGCTCTGCCCTCCCTCTCCCTGCAGGGTGTACATGCATCTAATATGTGTGTAAACCTCCAGGCCTGCATGAGAGAGAGAGGGAGGGAGAGGTAGAAGAGAGCACAAATTAAAATTATAAAATGTTATACAATACATATGTGTTTTAGAAAAAAAAACACATTGATTTTTTTTATCTCTCTCCCTCTCTCTTTCTCACCGGTGACCACTGGCGCCGGCGATGGCGACCGGCGAGCTCGCCCCATAGCCTGCGCCTGCGCCGGCCATGGTAGTGGCGGTGACGGCGGCGGCGGCGATGGATCTATGATTTGTCCTTTCATAGAAAAAAAATTGTGATCTGTGATCTATGATGTGTGATCTGTGGAGGCTGGAGGCTAGAGGTAGAAGAAAGGTGGAGGTTGTTGAATCTTAATCCTATGGTGCAAAAAAAATCATGTGTTGAAACTGCATAAAACACATGGTTGGGCATGTAGTAGACAGATTCTTTTTTTTTTTGACTCTGCTAGTTTCACTGATTACAAAAATAATTGGCAAAATAGTTTCTAAAATGCATGAAATGTCTATAATACCATTATAATTTTTATCCTTATTTATTTCTTTGTTAATAGTTTCTTTTTTTATGTTTTTTCTCGTTCCGTTTTCTCGTCCTATTGGCTTTGCGCCCGACCTCACCCTCCACCTAGGGTGCGGGCAATTTGGCCCTTGGCCCAGGGATCTAAGGATGGACCGGGAGGAAGATATTTTTTTTCAGCTCTATCTCGCGTGTTCAACTCTTCTCGACGCGATTTGCAAGTAGAGTTAGGTGAAGCCATTGGTCGTCTTTCCGTTTGGTTGGAGTAAAAGAGCCGGGCGTGGAGCAGCTCACACAGCGCTACCAAATACAAAATGAACTATAATTTAAGACCGATGCATTATCATTTATAGTAACTACCAGGACTTTTATATACACCCGACTTGCACGATGGCATTACATTTATAGTAACTAGCCGTATAGGAGACAAAAGCTGATGTTGGCATTCACGTGGCACACTTTCATTATTGCTTACTATGCTTATAGTCAATAATGCATGATGTTGCGGTTACTAGTCGATCTGGATTAAAAAAATAGGTCATGCTTGGTGCAATTAGGTTCACCAAAGAGTCATCTTGTTACATAAATTAGGAAAGATACAAAGAGCTAGGAATGCTCTTAGAATATATACACAGGGGCCGTCTCATCACCTGCACTGTGCCCGTCCTAGGATATATAGCTAGCCCAGCGTACGTAGTATACCAATCAACAACAACATATGCACTCATCGACATTGCTGGCTCTTGTTCCACTAGGCGAACATCTTCTATATCTTGTGCGTGGTCTAGAGAGTCATCCTCGATCTCTATATTTCGCTAGCGAGAAATCTAGAATGGAGAATATCTATATTTGAATATCTAACTGAAGAGACTGTTGGAGGATATTTCTTTCTCTAAAATCTCTATTCCTCTAAATTAGGAAAGATATAAAGAACCTTTTAGATATGCTCTTAGAATATATACACAGGGGCCCGTCTCATCACCTGCACTGTGCCCGTCCTAGGATATATAGCTAGCCCAACGTACGTAGTATACCAACCAACAACAACATACGCTCTCATCGGCACTGGTGGCTCTTGTTCCACTGGGTGAATCCTTCTATATCTTGTGCGCAGTCTAGAGAGCCATCATCGCTCTCTATATTTTGCTAGCGAAAAATCTAGAATAGAAAATATCTATATTTGAATATCTAATTGAAGAGACTGTCGAACGATATTTCTTTCTATTCCTCTAAACTAGACAGATATAAAGAACATTTTAGAGATGCTCTTATAATATATATACACAGGGGCCGTCTGATCACCTACACTGTGCCCGTCCTAGGATACATAGCTAGCCCAACCTACGTAGTATACCAACCAACAATAACATAAGCACTCATCGGCACTGCTGGCTCTCGTTCCACTGGACGAACCACACTGTACACAGAGCTACTGGCTAGCTAGCTAGACAATCGACCCAGCAGCAGCCATGGCTGGAGGTGGTGTTCAGCAGGTGGTGGCCGTGCTCGCGGTGGTGGCGCTCATGGCGGCGGCGGCGGAGGGTTTCATCTCCAAGAAGACGTGGAGCGCCATCCGGCGGGCGGACCGCGATGGGCCCTTCGTGGGGCTGGTGGTGCCCAACGCCTACGAGATGGAACCCGTCCTCAACTCCCCCGACTTCAAGCCCAGCAACAACATCCCCATCCTAGATGTTCAAGGTAACCTAGCTAAGCAGCAGCAGCAGCAGCAGACGATTCTCCGAGCATGCACACAGTGACACAGCATAGGTGGAGACTGGAGAGAGCCGTCCGGCCATTTTCCCTTTAACTTCCACCAAGGTTTTCAAACCGATTATGTTTATTTTTTTACAAGGGATCGGATGGTAAGAGCTTTGCCGTTAGATTATGTTAGACGAGGAAAAAAAGGTACACATAAAGGTACACATAACCAGTCCTGCCAAATCCCACTACCCAAACTAAGGAGGCAAAAAGAAACTAGTATATGCAACTACATGGTAAACGGGGCTCGGCCCGGGAACCAGGACAACCAACATTAGAACCAAATTAAGGCAAGAAACAACTAGAACCGGTAAAAACACACACAGCTGAAACAACGTCAAAAGGAACAGGAAAACAAGCTAAGAGGTGTTGACACTCTGGTCTCCACGCCAACTGGAATTGTTGTATATATGTTATTTTTGCAAAGTATTGCGACTTGTCTTGGTTTCGGATTCTTCTTTGCTAAAAAGTTCTTCTTTCCGCTCTTTCAAAATGTTCCACCAAATTATGTTTATTATTATGGTCAAGTTCTAAATATATGGTCAGTTGTTAATAATAACTAAAATCCTGAAAATATGCCACCAAAAATATATAGAGCCACATCGCAACAGGAGGAACACCCCTTTTAGCAAGGGATATATTCGTTGCTAGAGGTCCAAATAAATGTTGGTAAGACCAATACCAAGAGATGATACATGTATTGCTACTTCCTAGAGATTATGTTGCAAAGGTCTATTTGTAACGCATATGCAAGCGTCGGTAACGTTTGCATATATGTTCTGCAAGATAGCAACGGATATGCATATATGTTCCGCCAACAAATTTATATGTTGCTAACTAAATAAGCCGTATGCTTTCTGGATCCACCATTACAAACATATACATATTTTTTGAAGTGAGAAGTCAATATAGATTTAACAATTACTTGTACATACGTCATAACATCCATTAGCCCTGGGCACAAACAATTAATAGGCCATTAGACAAGTAAAGCTAACATATATTCTTATTTCAATAATAAATGATTCTGTACGGAGAAGAAAAACGCACAATGTATAATGGTATATTATTGTATTCCACTAAATACAAAACTCCGCACCAAAAATAAAATGTACATCAAATCCGAAATAAAAAGCCGTTCTTGTGGGAAAATCTTGGCGTACTTCATCCTTCATAATCTGAAATCCAAATATGGCCCATTTGCCCTGCATGAAAAATATAAGAATGCTTTGGTAAGAGCATATATGGAAGCACACTCTAGTTTTTCCCCCATTTGCATGAATCACAACCAGAATTTTAGATTTCTCATAATGATGTGGGCTTCTCATAGTGTTTTGACATTCAAAATTTAGTAGAGACTTTCCCTACTAAATGTCTCCTAATGAGATTCCCTTGTGCTATGACTAGTGGTAGTGTTTTATTACTACTTAAAAATACTAGGAGAATTCCATCATTTTGGTAGTGAATTTACAAATCTCTACACAAAGGGAATTATTAGTAATCTGTTTCGTGACCTAACTTTTTTGTGCACATACATATAAAAGTAACTGGGCTGAATTAGTGAAATTCTAAAAAATAAACGAAATAATTCAATGTTACAAATTTATATTTTAGCAAAAAAATGTCAATGGCGAAAATTTATAAACATTTAATGATGTACCTTATATATATCTGGATCAGTCTGTACAAGCAATACTGTCTTTTTGGCAATACCTGCATAATAAGAAGCTCGCAAGCAGCAATTATATATAGTATACATGACAAAAGCATGACCTCTAGAATTCCGTATGTTCCTTGGACATATCCCAGTTTTAAGTTCAATGATAAGGAATCATTCAGACATATATGTATATATTACTCAGAATATGAGTCAACTAATTAAGTGCTAAACAAAACTAGATATATAGACAAATATGTTCAGTAACATATATTTTTGTGAACTCAAACTAATTTATGACGTGGTATAAAAGCCAAAAGGTCAGCATAGAAAATACTAGTTGAAGGTCATAGCACAAGAAATGTAATGACAATAATGTTTCCAATAATGCGAATAGTAATAGTAGATTTTCAATCCCTCATATTTACAGTGTCATGGTTCGAATTAACTCTTTTTCTTATGATATATATAATTAATTAACAGATGCAGTTGTGTGTATATAAAAATATAATATAATGCTCTTACAATCACTGTTGGAAATTTTTCTTCGAAGGGCGACGATTCCGCTTCGGAACCATTGGAGGCCAAAACGTTGTCATGGTCATGACTGGGCTGAGCATGGTATAAATTCATCTTTTTCCACGTGTACATGTGAAAATTTATTTTACGACTATTTTCCTAAAACGAATCTGGCAGCAGAGAGCTGTCGATTTTATTTGACCACACAGTTAATAATCAATACCAGGGCCGTCTCAATAATTTTGAGGGCCCTCGTGCAAGCAAGGCACAAAGGGCCGGCAATCTAATGTTTTAATATGACGATTCAAATACTAAAATATATAGTACTACTAATAAGAGATAACTTGCAGCATATATTTAGTTCAATAAAAAATGACATTACATCAAATCGAAGAAGCTAAAAGAGCTGTAAGATAACTATTATGGTTACCTCAAATATAGTGTTTTAGTGCTTTTTAAAAAACCGCCTTCGGGCATTTCTTGATGCAAAATCTTCAATAACAATATCGAGATCAATTTTATCCAAAATATCCTTCTCAATGCTGCACATAGCCAAGCCATTTAATCTTTCTTGTAGCATAGTTGATCTCAAACAATTTTTCAATAGCTTCAATTTAGAGAAGCTTCTTTTAATTTGATACTATCATCACGAGAATGCAGTTAAGAGAATCCGATATGCAATAGAGACATTTGGATAGCAATCTAAATCTTTAACAAAGTGAAGAATCTCAAGTGCTGACATTAATTTATCTGGCAAAGTAACTTGCAGCACTTTCAATTCAGAGAAAAAATCATCTAACTCAACATCAGACTTGTTGTCATGAGAAAATTTGTTTACAAAAGTGGTGCAACACTTTTGTAGATCAGTAGCATCCAAAGACTTCAGATTTTCCGAGTTGAACAAGAAACCAAATATTTCTTCAAATTTCTTTAGCTGATCAAATCGACTAGTCAATGAAACAATTGCATGATCAACAATAACTAGGAAGTACTCTTCTTTGAAGGAATCTATAGCTGAACGTTGTAATTCTTCGGTTTCATCATTTTGTTCATCAAAATGCTTCTTTCTTTTACCTTGACGTTTTGTAGGAAATGTTGGCTCTACATCCATACTAGATGCAATGGATTTTGCAGTCTCAATGCTAGCACTGAAGCCTGTATCTCTGTAGTCCTAGAAATATGTTATGACCCCTTCAATCTGTTTAAGAGTACCATCCAAGGACACAATCGGAGACTGCAACTTTTTGCTCACCATGTTGATAGTAGATAAAATATCATCCCAAATAACCATACCAACTAAAAATTCAAAATTCTCAAGTGCTGTTACCAATGATTGAGCATCACTCACTGCTTTTGGGTCATCGGAAGATGTTCTTTCCACCTCCTGCAGAGCTGATCTTATTTGAGGGGCTTGATACCTGATAGGTTGCACACTTTTTATTCGACTCTCCCAACGAGTATCAAACAAGGGCTTGACAGTGAACCTCTCAACATTATCAGTCAAAATTTTCCACCTTTTAGTAGAACGTGAAAACAATGCATATATCCGTTGTATGACACCAAAAAACGAAATAGCTTTTCTGCAAGATTTTGCCATATCACAAAGAGTAAGGTTCAGACTGTGACATGCACATGGCATATACAATGCTCTTGGATTAATTTCAAGCACACGTGTCTGCACACCTTGATGTTTTCCCTTCATATTGGAACCATTGTCATACCCTTGACCTCTCACATCATCAATGTTCAAATCAAGAGTCTGCAATGCATCCAACAATACATTAAAAAGCCCCAATCCTGATGTGTCATCAACCTTTAAGAACTCTAGAAAAAATTCCTCTACTCTTGGAATGGCACTTGACATATTAACACAACGCACAATTAGTGTCATTTGTTCTTCATGGCTCACATCCGGGGTACAATCCAAGATATGAGAGAAATACTTGGCATCTTTTATAATCTTTAAGATATGTGTTTTCACAAGATCGGCAAGAATAGCAATTAACTCATTCTGAATACTAGGGCCAAGATAATGATGATAAATCTCACTATTATGAATGTGCCTAATATGTTCTTGCATCACAGTATCAAATTCAGCAATCATTTCTACCGTGGCCAGGAAATTACCATTATTTGGTTGATAAAGTTTTGCATTTGATCCTCGAAAGGCTAGATTTTGTTTAGCAAGAAACTTCACAGAGAAACCATTCTTACCAAAGACTTGTCCCCAACGCTCCTTCTCTTTTGCAATTTTCATTGCATTTCATCATCAATTGTTTGATTTTTGCTTAATCTAATCCAGAAGATCATTCCATGTATTCATGTTTGTCAAATGCTCCACACTATTCTCATCTGTTTTAGTTTCACACTCAAGTGCCTCCAATCCTCACTCCTTCGGATGCAAAATTAGACTTGTTTCGATTTGATTTGAACAACTTAAAGCAAAAACAATAGACCTTGTCCACATGTTTAGAGTAAACCAGCCACTTCTGTCAACAACTTCACCATTAGTTAACTTTCTAGAGTAATAAGCATATGAAAAATGCCTATTACTAGGATCACTAGGGAATTCTAAATCCATTTCTCTCATAGGTCCTTTCTCAATTAAGATATCCCTTTTGCTATTATCAATATTTTCCCATGTTCTAGGATCAAAGATAGTCGACAGTGAATCTTCTTGTTCATCCATGTTTACATTTTCTGTATCATCCGAAGGCTGTAAATTTTCCTCCTCAGTAGCACCTTCATTGGAATCTTGTGCAATTATTGGTTGATCATGTTTACCCGCCTCTGATCTTGAATGACTCCGGCATTTCTTGAACT